ATGTTTCCTATCTCTTGGGGAGGACAATTCTACTGAGTCTTTGCTATCTTCGCAAAAGTCCTGCAAGTTTTTGAGGCTAACGGTGCCCACCCAAGCCCTCACACACCTCAGCAAACCGAGGAACCACTGTGGTGTTTGCAAAGATTACTTCAGGAATGCTAACTTCTCTTCGTGAGTAAATTAAAGACTTGTATCACTTGAACGAACTTAGTGACCTTAGTCCAGGATTACTTTTACACAAGAAGGGTCAGAAGCGCAAAGGAGAAAAAGGGACCAGTTCAGTGTTGCTAGTGTTAGAGCTGAGACCAGAGAAAAGGCAGAAGATTAAACCACTCTTTTGGCCCAGAGCAGTCTGATCAAAGGCCAAAAATGCTTGCCTTCACCATACTTCAAGAAAAAAAAAAAAAAAAGCTAAGTATGGTAAGGGTTGTAACTTTATAGAGAAGCACATTTTACCACAAGCAAAAAATATTTTGCAAGCCGACGCCATGCAAAGTCCATCTAGAAGGCAAGTCAGCACAAGCCAGGAGCGATGAGGACGGAGTCACTCAGCAATTCTTAGAGAGACAGATGTATCCCACCCCCGAGTTTCAGGCCGAGGACAAATCCATCGTTACACTGACCGGCTTCTCCTGAGTGAGAGTGTGAGCCTGTCTTCCAGCCGCCACATGAGACAACACTAAATCGTCCCATCTGGTCATGGCTCCAAATGGGGTGGTTTTCCCCCCAAGCGACCTCTGTTACTCATATGAACGAGCTAAGTGGTCTCCATCATCCTCCCCAGCATGGGCGCTGGGAACCATGTCTGTCTGTCTTTACCTTGTCTGGGCCTAGCAGCTGTGGACAATCAACACACTCTCAACAGCCATTAGGCACTTACTCTGTGCCAGGCGCAGTGGGCACCAGGATGAACGAGACAGAGGGAGGACTGGCCTCAGGAAGCCTGGACTCCAGGGGGGACGTGTAAACAGCTGCAAGAAGCGCAGGGTTTTCTAAGAGGTAGGAATGAAGCTGTACAGAAACGCAGTGTGCAAAGAACAAAGCTGGGTGGAGAATCTTCTAGCATGACTACAACAGAAGGGCCACGGGAAGGGATGGCTGGCACCCGGCTGCCACGCTAAGGAGTTTGGGCCTCACACGTAACAGGAAAGCACTAGGAGCAGTTAGAGGAATGACAGGCTCAGGTCTGTTTTTCACACAATTACTTGATGATAAGGTGAAGGAGGGGCTGGGAGGCAGGCAGAGCCTGCTGAGGAACCGTGTCGGTACACAACTGCGTTCCTCACTTGAGAAAGCACAGCGCTATTAGAGGCGACATTTGAGCATCTAGAACATGGGGGCTATGGAAACGATGCCACGGGGACCAGTCAATGAAATGCGGTGGAGCGAATGAGGTTCGACTCCAAAGTTCCCAGCACTCTGGACTCAAAACATGCACAGTGAAAGACAGCAACAAACCACAATGTCTGGGGACAATGACCCAACAGATGTCCCATTTCATGCACACAGGCAGGTGTAAAGGGACGTGCCTGGCCTAGCTGTCAGCATCAGTTGGTCACCCATGAACAAACTAGCACACGCACAGAGGGAGAAGTGCCAGACTGAGCAAAACACATGTGCATTCAGGTAGGCCCGAGAATAAGGACCTGCAATTAAAAGCACAGCATTGGACAAAAACTGTCAAAAAGGTTCTGTGATCTAACAGATAAGAAAACAGACAAGACAGACACAAAAGGAAAACAAGTAAAAGAAAGAAAAGAGAAAAGGCAGTCATTTCAGCAGTCTGTGATCTGAGACAAACCCTACAGGAAATTTCTTTTTCATTTGTCATAAAATGTAGTAGCCATCCAATTACTTTATTCAATGCCAGTTATTTTTATAGGTTGGGGGAAGCTATTCATGCTAAAATGCCAAGAGCATGGAGAGGCAATAGAGCCCAGTGATAGGTAACTGGCAGCTGCATCACCGCCACCCACCCCTCCGCTGACTTTTCAAGATCATCGCACCTGGTTTACTTCCTTCCCAAATACCAAGGCACTCCTGAAAAATATGCCAGTGATGCCACACAAACAACGAGAGCAAAGAGTTCCTCCCTCCACTATTTCTACTTTTGCTCCCAGTTAATTTAACATGAATCCAGACAATTATAAAAGTCTTTATACCATTTCCAAAGGGGGGATCAGCTACCTAAATTTAGTTCACTTAAACCACAGCTAAACAAGAACTTTTAGATCTAATGGGTCACTTGAGATGACCAGGAATTCCCAGCCTCTCCGATGTGATTTCCGTTTGTCTTTTTTTTTTTTTTTTTAATATAATGATGTTGAGTCATAGTATGTAGACCTTCCTCCTCTGCACAAAATGCGGAGAATGGCATTTAAATAAACACCACCGGGAAATTTTATATTCTTGAAATATAACAACAGAAGCTGTATACAGAGCAGTGAAGAATTTTAGTGAACTATTGATATAACATGGTTCTAACCTCATCAGGCATTAGGTTGTATTTCATAATGAAAGCAGCTATAAAAAACAAATGTCGCTACAAGAGTGGTTCATCTTACCAAGCCTGTCTCTAACACGGGATAAATCTTGCCTTCAAGACACAAGCTATTGTTAAATTCTTCATTAACTGAAACAACCTAATCATTCACACTGAAAAGTCCTGAAAGGTGTCAGCGAATCAAAGAATTAAGAATTTAACTTAATCAAAGAATTAAGAGTTTAATTTAATCTCGAAGAATTTCTCTTAGAGATAAGAGAAATAAAACACTTGACCCAAGCCCTAGGGATAGGAGGTAGAACTGTTAAGTAATTTTCATTCATGCAAGCCCTCTTTTCTCTCATTCTAGTTCTGAAAACCAACTCCTTTCTCCTATCTGTACTCTGTCGCCTTTTGGACAGCCAGACCAACTCAAATGCCAGTGCTAAGTACTATTTCCATTTTTCAAGCCAGATAAACAATTGTTTAAATGATAGGAAACAAATTTTAAACCCACCTACATGTGCTGCCCAAAACTGACTTTTTATAGACTAAATGTTTAGGATCTACTCATTAGCCTTAACAGTTAAAAACAAGGTTATGCTCACTTTTATCAAAGGAGCTAAAGTAGCAGCAGCTTTGCCTGAAACATTTGTTTTCTAAACTGTCACATTTCCAGGCATTCAAACAAAGGTCTACTTCACTCTTTGTTCTCTTCCCAATTGTTTTCAAGGTTTTGCAACTTTTTGTTCTAGGTAGGAAAAAAAGTTAATAGCACTGCCTTGTTTACAAAATTTTAAGCCAAAATTACATATTTTTCTCATCACAATAGACTAAGCAAGCTCAAAATGACTTTGTAAAAGGGGGTCCTGATGATGGCATGCTACAAAATACTAACCTAATGTTTAAGTTCCATTTTTTAACAAACACATTTCTTTGAATTCTTGAAAAATAGTGGTTTTAATAAACTGCCACAGACTTTGCCACTTTAGACTCAAGGTCACTTGAACTCATGTTTTTTTTTAAAGGCCACTTTTTTAATCTTAAAAGGAAAAAGAGCTTCTAATTTCAGTTTTAGGAAAGAGAAATATCTGTATGACAGAGGTAAGAAAAGTCCATAGCGGACAATTCATCCAAGATCAAAAGGAACCACCTCCAGGAATGTGGCAATCCATTAAGAAGCTGGGGCAATCTCAACACACAGCAATCATGACTAACTCCTCGGGCTCAAATGTGGTAGAGAAATTTAAGAGCAATAATGGCAATTAATTGAAGACCAGCGTGCTCCATGCCAGTGGCGTGCTCAATCCAGTTTTAGTCATGCCTGGGGGACAAGTCAGGCTAGTCTGGCCTAAAACAGTATTTGAAAGCAAATTCAACCAAGAATTTTTGTAACATGAAGTTGTTGTTGCCAACTCAGCCAGTCTCTGGATAAAGGATTCCACCCTGTGCTTCCTGAAGGCCACCTCTACTTGTGATAGGGTATATCACAATCCACTACAACACTCAGCCCAACGGTTTTTTCATTTAAGCTTTAGACTCTACAGCATTGAACTAGATACAGAAAACATGTCTATACATTCTCAGAGTCACTGCTGGAATTCATTCAATTAACTCAGAGAGACCAGACAGGGAATACACATTTTATGTATGGACCAATCATACTAATACTGGTTACAATGGTTATAAATTTTAGTCTATCAGAAACCAATACACATTACAATCCAAGTGAAAAAGAATCCTGTCAAGTAAGTTTGATGTAAATCCACATGAAACCAAGCCTGCCAAAAAAAAAGGCTTTTGTTAGTCAAGCATACCAAAGAACTGCTTAAAGCTTTTTTCCTTTTTAAGTGGAGCTCAAAATAGATTTTAATACTACCAGCTGATGGATCTCACAATTTGCCTTTTGAGCCTATAAACTGAAAACAGAATAAACTGCCTCCTCCCTTTACACAAGTAACAAAATCTCTCTATTCTGTGCATGGCCATGTGAGTGTGGTTTTGGTTAATCCTCACAACCCCCGCAATGACATTTAATAGGGAGCGCATATTTTCTTTAGAGGATTTAGCTGCTGGTGAAAGCAGACCTCTTGGTGTTTTGAACGTCGTATTTCAGAGATAGGTGAGAAACTACCTTCCGAACTCCTCTAGGAAGCAGCCTAGCCCACGAGGAGATGGGAGAAGAAATGACGAGCTCAGCCTTGCAGAAAGGATCGGATGGTTCCGGGGGAAATTACGCAGGTTTAGCGAAGGCCAGAACTCAAGGCTTCCCCGCTCCCGGCCGGGAAGGAGACACTATGTTGGCCCCCGCGAAGTGGGGGTGCAGGCCTGGGGGCCAGACAGCCCTGGGGCCTGACACTCCCGGGCTTGCTCCCGCCCCTCACTCGGCTCACTGGGCAAACGCCTCTGCTCTGACAGCTCGGCCCGGGCCCCCTCTTGGAGGGAGCCCACCTTCCGGGCAGTCAGCCCCCCCCCCCCCCGTTTTGATTCCTGCTTCCCTCTCAGCGCTCGACGCCGTCTGAAACGACCTGCCGCAGGTCTGACCCCCCCGTCCAACGACGAGCCCCCGGGGAGCGGGCCTGGGCCTCCCGACCCCCCCCCCCGCCGCCACCCCAGCGCCCCGCAGCGCCCTGGGGGCCAGGCCGCCCGACACCCGCTGAATGAATGAACGGGCAGGGGACGGGGGCTGTCACCCCCGGGACGCGGCGCGCCGAGGGGGGGAAGTAGGGTGGGGGAGGAAGGGGGTGAGCGGCCCGTTCCCCGGGGAGACAAAGACGGCGGGGCCGGGGGGTCCCGTCGAGAGAGGGGGCGGCGCGGGGAGCCGTCAGCCCCGGGGGACAAAGGGTGGCCGGGCGGGGGTGGGGGGCGGGGTCGGGGCGCCGGGGGTCCGCGGCGGGGGCGCAGACGGCGGCCCCCGGCGTGAGCGGCCCCCGGGGCGAGTGGGGGTCAGGGGGGTGCGGGGCCCGGGGCAGCCGCGGGCCCACCGGGGACAAAGAGGGCGGGCGCCGGCCTGCGCCGCCGCGGGGCGAGTCCTCGGGCAGCGGCGCCCGGGGGGGCGGGCCCGGGGGCGCCGCCGGGGGGGAGCGGGCCGGGGCCCGGGGGGACGCGGCTCCCGCGGCCGCCGCCGGGCCTGACGCGCCCCGGCGCTCCCGCACCTGGTAAATGGCCGCCCAGCTCCCGGCCTTGTCGATCTGCTCGAACTCCTTCTCCATCTCCATGTCGGGCCAGGGCGGCCGCCGCGCCTCCTCCTCGGCCCGCCGCGCCGTCTGCCGCTCTAGGCCGCGGAGCGCCTCCGCCCGGACCCCGCGCGAGCCTCGATCCCGCCGCTACCGCCGCCCGGGCCGCCGCTGCTTCTTCATGTCAACCGGCAGCCGGAAGTACGCACCGAGCGGCCTCGGCCCCGCCCCCGCCCGGGCGGCCAATCAGCGCTCGCGGGCGCCGGCCAGCACTTCCGCGGGGCGGGGCCCGGGGCGGGGCCGGGGGAAGTGGCCTCGGCCCCGCGAGACGTCTGGCTGCGCGCGCTCCCTCCCCCGCGGGCTCCGGCCTTGGGCGTGGCGCGCGCCGTTACCTAGGCGACCCGGGGCGCCCCGCCCACGGCGCGTGGGCTTGCGAAGGCCCCGGGGGGGGGGGGGGATCGCGAGTTCAAGCCTCGGCGCGGCGGGTTGAGTCACGGGGTGACCTTGAAGTAGTCATGCACCCCCCGGCCGCAGCAGGCTCCCGCGTCGGGGCTGCAGGCTGGGGTGCTGGGGTGCGGAGGGCTATGCATGCTCCATTCTTCTGCCTCCCACCGCTGGGCCGTATCCACCGGTTTTTCCTGAAATGTAGGACTTCCTGGTGCACCCGGCTGCTGGGAAGGTCCACTTTCCTCTGACAGTAACTGTCCTTGTCGGAAACGCAAGGTTTAGGGGTCTCTGGTTTCGTCCGCTGCAGGAATGAATGAATTGGGGTCTAGAATGAATTTCATTATTTCCCAACGTATCATGGAAGTCCTGCTCAGAGTGGACTCGGTGGAGAACAAATCCCATGGTGCATTCGTGCGTTGAACAATGCAAATTTCTGGACCCAACTCCCAAGGATTTTGTACCATAATCTGCAATTTTCGCCAGCAAACACAGTTAATTCTTTACCTGTGATCTTTGAAAGACACAGGGGGAGGCTGGCCACGTTACCTTTCTGCCCACTCTAAAAATGAAGCCATCCAACTCTGGCCGTGGCACACTTTGTGGAGACTGTGAACCCGAGGGGGCTGCTGGAGAGATGGCAAACACCATGGCATCAGAGGACCAAGTTATCTCTGTTCTATTTCCACCCCAAGCCTGCCCAAAGCAATGGCCTGGTATTATGGCTTGAATCCCACCTCATTCCTTGAGTACTTGTGGCCCGCACTGTGCCTGTCATTCCATTTACAATTTTGGTACTATTTTGGTACAATTTTGGTACAATTTTGGTACTACAATTTTGGTACTATTATTATTCCCAGTTGATTGATGAGGAAACTGAGGCAGAGAGAGGCAAAATCACTTTTCCAAAGGAGCATCACACGTTGGCATAGAGGCCAGGATTCTAACCCTGTCTCCAGAAGAGTGCTTCCTCTGGAGTCAGGCTGCCTGGATCCAAATTCCGACTCTATTAGATAGTAGCTGTGCGGCCTTGTGCAAAATTCCTAATCTCTCTCTGCCTCTGTTTCCTCATTTTCCTTTGTAAAATGACAATAATAAAATAAGCCACGTCATTGGGATGGTGTGAAGATCAGATGAGTGATCTTAATACAGTGAGTAGATCAATAAATATCAGTTGATAGTCGTATAGACTTTCAAATAATAGCAAATGAATTCTTGTGGAATAAATGTAATTGGCTTGATAAGTATGTCTTTAGAAACTGGGTATTCCATGAGGAGGAAATTAACAAAAGCCCATTCTGGTGAAAAGTTTGGGCACCCCACACTTGGATTGTAATTTGGGCCTTAGCCTTTTCTGTGACTTCCAGGCCTGCATACCTGTCTTCCCTTCAAGTTGTTATTTATGTGAGTGTTGGTTTGTCTGGAACTGCAGAACTGAGACCTCTGTACTGTGGGGAAAAGCAAAATGGGCCCAGCTCATTCTTAGTCCCATATATTCCTGTATTTGGGCTGAGCTAAGTAAGTAAATAAATCAAATGCCCATTTGGAGCCCAAGTGAGTTTCCTGCCTATAAGGAGTGCCACCCAATGACCCAGCAGCCTCTGAATGGGGCCAGAACTATGTATAGTATCTTGGTGGAGGAGGAGGCGGCCTCAGAGGGCTAAAGCAGCCTGGGCTTTAGTGTCCTAGGGCTGCCGTAATAAATTATCGCAAACCTGGTGGCTTAGAATAATGGAAATTTATCTGAGAACAGTCTGGAAGCCAGAAATCTGACATCAAGGTGCTCCCTCTTGAAGGCCCTCCCAGAAAATCCCTCCTTGCCTCTTCCAGCTGCCAGGATGTCAGGTGCTCCTTGGCTTGTGGGAACATATCTCCAGTCTCTGCCTCCTTCTTTCCGTAGTTTTCTCCTCTCTGTTTCCTTTTCTCCATCGGCTTGATTTCCCCCCAGTTCTCTCACATAAGGACAATTGTTATTGTTTTTAGGGTCTACCCCCACCCAGGATGATTTAGCAATCCCAAGGAATCCAAGAAAAGCTCATTTTGAGGCCCTTAAATTTATTACATCTACAAAGACCCTTTTTCTGAGTAAGGTCAAATTCCAGGTACTGGGGTTAAACAGAGCTCTTTAGGGGACCCCCACTCAACCTCCAACAGTCAGAGGGAGAAATATTGTCACCAAATATTGACCCTGATAAAATCTCTGACCTCAAGTATCAGCTAATGGCCTTTCCATCTGTTCTTCACAGGACCCAGAGTTAGCTTTCAATATTTGAATCACGAAGCGCCGCTCTGTAAAATCCAACCTTCCTGGAATGAAAACCAAGTAAGCCCCAACCCCGGCAAGACCCACCTCCCAACCCTCTCTCCTCGGACTCTGTGCCAATCCAGTCCACTAGTTTCCACCTCAGGGCCTTTGCACCAGCGGACTTTCCGCCAGGACCATTCTTCTCACACCTCTTCTCACCCTCCAGGTCTCCCGTCCACTGTCACCTCCGCAGACACGACTGCTCTGACCACCTAACTAGCCCCATTTTCTCTCCACCACAAACCTGGCTTTGTGTCTCACGATACTCATCTCTGCTTACAATTCCCCCGTTCATTATTTGTTGGCTTGCCTCCTTCTACCCCTCACTGTTGTGTCCACAAGGGTAGGGACCTCGACTTCCTGTCTGTGTCCCAGGCATCTGACATGTGGTTGGGGAGGAGGGACCCCAATGCCCGAGACGTCCGGGGCTTGCGGAGACACGGCTTTTGTTCATCTGTAAAACTCCACCCGTTCTCTGCCGAGGCCTGGCCTAGAACCAGCCAGGCTCTGGTGTCCCCCAGAGACGTGATGGTGGTGATGGGGAAATCTTTTGAGTGATGACTAGTTAGAAAATAAACAAATGGCCCTATGTCATGATAGCTAAAACCTTTTCCCGGCAGGCCTGCCTGGGAGATGGTCTCACATGGTTTCTTGGGATTTTCCTTCATGGATTTAGCTAATGGAGGAAATCAATGACCCATTTAACTTTTTAAAATGTCCTACAGAGTTGTCAGTGGAGAAGGATGGATGTTCGCCACATCTGCAATGGATCATCGACTCTTAACCTTGTCAGCAAGTTTCCTGGTAAAATCAGCCCTGGTTTTCTTCCTGGGAGAGAGCACAGTGCTAAGAACTGGGGATCCAGAGTGAGGCCAAACTGGATGTCTGATGAAATGTCACTAACTTGGAGATGCCCCATCTGACCCCTGCTGTCTGCCTGTCACTCTATCAGTTTTCCTTCTTAGCCATGGGCAGACATATGTTCTCCCTAGTGTCACCACGTGGTATTATGTTATGCATTTGATTTATGTGTTTATCTTCCATCTCCATTAATGTAAATTCCATGAAGAAAAAAGACCAAGTCGATTTGGTTCAATGCTGTCTTCCTTGACTGACAGGTTATTCCTAAATAAGCCTGTGAATGAATCCCTGGAAGATTTCAGAAACCAAGGTGGCAGGGCTTCCTCCTACCTCATAGATTCAGAGTTCAAGGTTCTCAGGGTCACCCTCTGCCCACCACTGAGGACATACAGTCAGGAAGGGAGTGACCATCCCTCAGTCACACATGCCCTCCTAACAGTGTGGGTGCCTTGCTGACTGATTTGGGGTCAGCCAAAGATAAACCTGAGATGGAGTTAAAGCTAGGTCAAAGCCCTAGCTGCACAGAGCCTTGGCCTCCAGTACAGTCAACACTAGACAACAGTGTTGTGCATTTTATATTTCCCAACAGCCCTGGCAGCCCAGAGTTATCCCATCTTGCAGAAGGGAAAGAGGTGAATCAATGGGCACCCTCAAATGTCAGCCTAGAGAACGGAGCAATGGGCACAGGCAACTAGCAGCTTCCAAGTTCTGAGTCGGCTACTTACAGCACTCAGGCTGTGGGCAAGTTGCTTAACCTCCTAGATGTTTTCCAATGAGAAAAACCCAACTGAAAGTGGCCTTCACGAAATGGGGAATTTGCTGGCTCATGAAACTGGGATGTCCAAAGGTGGCTTGCTGCAGGCATAGCTGCATTCAGGGGCTCAAACAAAGTCACCATGGCTCTCCTCTCTCCAGTTCCTTTATCTGCTTCCCCTGTGTTAACTTCACTCTCAGGCAGGCTTTCCTCCCGGGGTAAGCAAGATGGCGCCAGCAATTCCTGGTTCCTATTCTGCCAGCTCAGCAGCACAACGGAGGAATGCTTCTTTTCCCTGGTGGTCCCAGCACAAGTCCTGGCCTTAAATCTCATTGGTCCCTCTCTAAGTCAATCTCTCTGTCCATGGGAAACGAGGCCCAGAGAGGTCATCTCCTACACCCAAGTCACACAGCTATTAGTGGTGAAGTGGGATTTAGAAACGGGCAGTCTGGTTTCAGCAGCTGTACATTCAGCCATGATCCTCTCCAAGAACTCCCACAAACTCTAAACAATCACAGTGATGAGGAGATAATGATGATGACCGCTGACAACAACCCTGTGAAGACTATACTATGATTATCCCCATTTGAAGGGAGGCACAGAAAGGTCGGGCTAAAGACCAGGTGGAGCTCGGGTTTGAAGCCAGTTGAGCTGTAGCTGCTGCTCTCAGCCTGGAACTCTCTCTGTGTGAGCGCTGCACTGTCTCAGTTGACGGGAAGGTTGCACCCCGCAGCTCCCCCTTCACATCCTCACTGGGCTCTTCTCACTCTCAGGAAGACTCCTCTACCCCTTCACCCCCAGAAAAGATTTTCAGTTCTACTCCAGGTCATTAAGAGTAAAACAAACACATAAATGTAGTCCTGTGCTGCCTGTCCTTGTAAGGGTGACTGCCCTGGGGCGGGGTGGCGGTGGGGCCAGGGGGGAGAAGTTCTCAGGGGAACTAGGGGAATCACGTGGGTTCTGAGAAATGAGGGTCAGAAGGTAGGGGAAGGTACAAGGGGGGAAGTTAGACCCAAGGATGGAAACTAGACCTGGCCCCTTGCTTTGCACAAATGAGTTGTCTGGGAGGGTTTCCAGAAGCCACTGCAACTACCCTCCCTCCAGTTTAGAGGGAGGTCATGGGAGGACACTCTTGGCAACGGGTGAGCACAGGTTCTGGAAGGTGACTGATATGGACCGGTCCCTTACCCTCTCCGATTCTTGGTTTTCCATCTTTTCCAGAAGGCAAGGGTGGGATGGGTGGATGAGATGTTGTCTCTAGTTCGCAACAAGGACTCAGTAATATTACGATTGTGTGGGCTGCCGAGTAAAAGAGCTGACTGCGATCTGTCCACAGATGTTTTCATGGTATCTGTTGCAACCTGCTATTTTCCATCTCGATTACTTGTCCCGCGGCTGGAGGTAAGCAGGGCCAGCGTCGTGGGCGTGTGTGGCCTGTGCCATCACCGGGTCCCGCACTGCTTTCATAACCCAGTCTTGCTGTCTTGACGTTCTTAATAATTTTGGAACAAGGGGGCCCACTAGCAAATTATATAGCCACTCCTGGAGGTGCAGTTTAGATTTTCAGATTCTTGAAGGGGTTATATGCTATTTCTGCCTTTGCAGATGCAAACGGTCTTCCCTTTTATTCTGGAAGGAACCCCCTGCTCTTGGGGGAAGTCCTAAAATGGTGACACTTCCAGATACAGATTCCTCACCTTGAGTTGTTTACTATTGTTTAGTAATAGTAATTACAATAGCTACACGTGTCGGGCATTAACTGCGGGCCATGCTAAGCCAGCACCTGACTGCCATCCTCTCTCTAGAGATTTCCCGAGGGCTCTGCTAGAGGGTCTGTCATTAACCTCATTTCACAGGTGAGGATACATTAACCTTATTTCAGGTGAGGATACAGGCCTAGAGTGCTTATATAACTTATCCATGATCACACAGTAGCCTTGCTGTAAGGTCTCTAAGTTGAGTGGGTGTAGCCTGACTGAAGCCTTTTAGGGAAAAGGAATTAACTTCTAAACTTACATTTCGATAGACGAGTTCCTTGGCTTCTTGGCAGAGATCTGTTTTTCTGATCAAGCATTTGCTCCAGTAGTTTTGCCCGGGAAGATAGAAATGGTCTTCCACAGGAGACCTGCTTGCAGAGAGGGAGGAGCTGGCCTGTCTTCATCCCTCCCACCTACCCACCCATCCACCCTTGTGCTGGGGAGACCCCGTGGGCTCCCAAACTTTGGGAGGTGCTTACAGCTCTCTTGCTGGCTTAACCTAGGCCATGGGGAACCAGATGGGAGGGAGCTTTCCTCTGCAGGAACTGGAGATTCCCATTGTCCATATCTGGGGTAAGTATGGAAGTGGGGGGGCCAAATGCCAGAGAGAAAGGATCAGGAAGCCCATCTCTGGCCATTAGACTGGCCCCCACAACATGGCAGTGGCGGCTGGGAGAGAAAGGAGAGTCAAAATGGCGGAAGGGGAAGCTCTATGTAGATGCGGGGGCTCTAGATGTTACTTCCTAACGGTCTCATTTTGCATGTCTCTCTTCCATATTATAATTCTTACCTGCTCTTCACAGGACTTTAATAAGATTCTGTTCCTTTTATCTTGCTTCTTGCAATGTGGACATGGTAGGCTCCAACCTGAACTGTGCAGGCAAGGGCAACAGACCAGGGATGGATGGAAGAGAACGTGCCAGAAGGAGCCATAGAACGCTGACCCCATGGAACTGCCCAGTCATCCCCTGACCCATCACACACAGACCATGTGAAGAAGGGATGAAAGAGACATACAAAGGGCTGGTGCCTAGCCTGTATGCATGGCAAACCACCTCGGTGCTGACACCAGGGTGGAATACACTAGAAACTTTGTTTAAGCCACTGTTAATGGAGGTCTCAATTACAGTAAGTGAATCTTTGTCTCAGTTAACCCCAACCCATTGGGGGGGCTGTTAAGAAAGAGGGCTGGATACCAGCTCCAGGTCAAGATGGTGTGGAGACAGGAGCAGTCACCTGGGGTAGGTGGTTAAGATGGCGGACAAGGCAGTAGAGTTCTGAAAAAGGTGGCTTAGTAAGGTTGCCAAGCAACCACAAGTCTGGTCCATGGGACACGTGAATATCCCCCAGAGATTCTGAGTAATACCTTGCAGAAAGAACCTGATAAAAGTTGCTCTTCTTAGACTCATGAGCTCCTACTGTTCGTTAGATATTAAAGGGGAAGCTGGAAATTTTGGGGACTGTAGGGGTTTTAAACAGTGCCCAGGGAATGTTAGTTCCCTTCTGAGGCAGAAACTCTTGGGGAGGGAGGCCAAGTCTGCTCAGGAGCTTCTGGGAAAGATTTCTCCCGCTGCGAGAGAAATGGTGGCAGGAAATGAGCTGTTCCTCACTGGCCAGTCGGCGAGAGAGAAAGCATCTGGGTCTGTGGCACCAGGGGGTTATTGAGCTGTCCCTGGAACCCCCCCCCCCCAGCTCTGGGCTTACCTCTTTGTAAAAGATTAACATTTTTGTTGTTGTACCCACTATGGGTTGGTGTTTTGTTACCTGCAGCCAAGGGCATGCTCACTAACCGATGCACCAGCAGTCTGGAGTTTCGATGCATTCCTTCTGCCGCATCCCGATCATTTTGGAAGTCAAGATCTTTTGGAAACTACCTTTGTCAACGTGTTGCCACCCTGTCCTTCCAAAGAAGAATCTCCCTTGTCACTCCATACTTCTTTATTTGAGGAGCAAGAGCTGCATCTGGGTGGGGCGAAAGCAGAACTTCTGCCAGCGTGCAGACCTCATTTTGGCATGGGCCGATCCTCCTGCATTGGTCTGTCTTATTAGCCCCCCTGCACCTCTCTCAGCCAGCGAGGAGCTCATGGGTTCGGACTGTTCATCTCGGTGTATCGCCAGGGTGGCTCGGGCCCTAGGCGGCAGGAGGTGCTTCCTGCATGCTTGTTGAATGAATGTATGAAATAATGAATCATCTCAACCCAATTTTACCACCTCCCTAGACAAAGTCAATTTCCCTCCCCACTCTGCCCTGCTGCATCACTCTAGGACAAGACAGCTCTTGCAAACATAGAGCCAGGAAGAAGTTAATCCAATTCTTAATTCCAAAGAAGCTTCTAATTCTCTCCTTAAATTACCTTTAATCCACCCACTGTCATCTTCAGCTCCAATTCAGTTCTGAGCTGGCTTTTCCAGGCTTTCTCCAAAAAGGAAGGAAGGAGGGAGAGAAGAAAACTGTGTTTGCTTTAAAATCATTTCAAGAAACACGGAAATAGATGTAATTCCAAGAGGGTGTTCTCTTTACTCAGAACTGTAAGTTCTGGCATTGGGTGGGACATTTTTATTTGTCTTAATTCATTTTCTAATCACAAAAGCATATGCATTTCATGAAGAAATCTTGACATGTACACGTGAAATAGACAATGTGGGCTTTTCCGTCTCACCGTGCCCAGTGGTCGCCCATGGCATTTTGGTCCGCGTATTTTCACATTTATTTCACCTCTCGGTCTCTTCAGCTTTATCTCTGTCTCCCCCTCACCCTGGTCCCTTTCCTGCTTTTAGTTCTGTCTGTCTGTCTCTCACCATGTCTCTCTCCTCTTAGTTGTCGTCTCTACAAAACAACACCTATTGCTGTCTCCGTGTCTCTTCCTCCCTCCATCACACTGAAATGTTTCCAAGTTCTTCAGCCTTCAGAGGCCGTCACTCTCCCGGGAGCAAACCCGTCTGGTGAAGCCTCTGGAAAATGAGTCCCTTCTCCTCCACATGACTTTCTGAGAAATCTGAATGTATTTTCCTCAAGCTCTGCTTATCTCCTGTCTCTCGTTCTGAACTGTTGCTTCCGCCATTGAGCTTCAGTCTAAGCTCTAAATTGATGCCTAAACAGACCAGAATTTCCCCCACAGAATAAGAAGTCTAGGGGTAGGGGCTCGCTTGCCCATAGTCCCTCAGCTCCCTGGCCATGAGAGTGGGCTCAGCTCACCTTGGCATCTGGCCTGACCTTCAGAAGCAGCCCTCAACCAATGACAAATGGAAGTTTCTGGATACATAGCTCACCTCCTTGCCCCTCAGGTAGGAAGAATCACAGGCCTGTTCTTCACAGGATCCCAGAGGTCCCCGATAGGTTGCCATGGTGGCAAACTGCCTTTCCCTCCCCGGCCTCATCTCTCCCCAGCGCTGGGCTGGTGCCCCACCAGCTCTCCTGTCCAGCAAGCTTCTTCATTCAAATCCTTGTCTCCCAGCAGGCTTGCGAGGAACTCAGCCAAAGACAGCAGTTGCCTTTTCCTTTCACCTCACTAAAAGTCTCCAAATAGAAGTGTCTTCTATGATCCTTAACTTGTGGCATCTTTAAAACAGCAGTGCACCCCAACTTCTAGAGCCCATGATGTCAAGAATATTGGATTTCCACCTAGAGGCCCCTGTTACACCTGCCTTGTGCCACGCTGGGCACTTAACATATACAATGAGTGATGTTAGGGCCTTCTGAGTCGTTCAGTCTAAGTTTAGAGGTCACGTATCAGTTGGGGGTCAGCCACCTCTGTCCAGGACTGGCCGTGAAGCCATTTCAGGGAATGGCACCCACTTCCACTCCAACCCCCAACACAGCTCCAAGGCCCTAGAGTCACACATGGAGCCTGCTTGGGAGATGAAAAGGGGGAGGCTTCAGAATTAAATGAGAGAGAATATTTTTCCCAACACAACTTTATTATAATATAATCCTATAACATATACTATGACATAACAAATATTATATGGTAAATAGACCTACGAGTACCACTTAAAACATTGCCACAAACTGAACGTGCTGATAAACTGGCACCTGGAATCTAGCAGCCCCCGAGAAAGCCACTTTGTACCCCTTCTAGTTACGCCCCTCCTCGAGGACACCCCCTCCCCCTTCTGCCCTGCCCTGACGTCTCACGCCCTGGATCTATCCTTGCCCGGTAGGCACGCCCAGTGCACACTCACGCCTGCTTCCTGCGGTGCCAGGGACTCGGTGACCAAGGCGTGTCTGCATTGGGTGTGGCCGTCTCCCCTGGGGATACCGACATTTTAATTTGAGAAGTTCTGAGTTTTAAGAGCCGACAGGAACCTGAGGAGTTAGGGACCACAGAGGTCAGTAGAGGAAGCCCCCCCCCCCTTAGAAGCTGCAGGGTTTTGGGCAAACGACTTACTTCTTGTTTCTGTTTCTGTGTGTGCAGGACAATGTTGGCACCTACCTCCTCGGTCCTGGTTCTGTGAGGCGGTACAGGGCAGGTGCTGAGGACCTACGGGAGTGGTGGGGAGCCAGCTGGTATGTCTCCTGCTGCCTCGGGACTCATACTACCACTACTCTGTGATTTTCATTAGTACCCACAGGGAGAAAGGAGGTTTCAACAAGAATATTTGGTAGTAACTATTATAAAAATAAGATGATTTCATCATTACGCTTCAACAAGTAGGAACAGATCGCAAAACTGGTTAGACATGTGTCCTCTCGGGTAAGGCACACATCAAGCCTGAGAAGTTAATAGGATGATCTTCATTGGACAGATGAGGCAACTGAGGTTTAGAGGGAAAAGCAACTCCTTCCGGGTCACTGAGCAAGTTGGCAGTGGAGCCAGGGAATCCTGTTCTTCTTCTCACCCTTTTATCTAATTCTCATCTCCTACAGGAGCTAGTGCTCCTTGGGGTGCGTAGGGTCATCCCCCCGGGATGTCCTTGGCACACCCCCATGGTATGGTGGTGCCTTCAGAGCGTCTGGGAATGTTTGTGTTGATTTTTCCATCAGCCTGTTCAGACGGGGCCCAGTCTGTCTTACGGGTCTTAGAAGCAGCATTTGGGGAATCCCAGGTGAGTCAGCCATAACAACAGGTCCTCAGGTAACCCCATGGTTGGGGATATGGTTGTTGGGAATGTTTGGGCTTTTTTGCTGAAATTAGTCAACTGGAGTAACAGAATTCTCTCACTGTAAATCATGTAGTTGACTCTGACCAATAGGAAGAGGAATTTGTGACAAGGGTGCAGGGCAATTTATAGAAATGGAGAGAGAAATCTCCAGAAGCAAGTTTAAAAAGAATTAGAAACTGGATTCTAAGAGTTTGCAGTGGACACTGTAGGTGCCTGTCCACCAGTTATCCTACTCCAGGTGCAGGGAGGACCTGATTAGTCTAAAACAAGACTTAGCAACCTTTGCACTGTAGCAACCTCACTGTAGGGTATTTAACTGCACACAAACCGAGGTTCCCCAGGGACTCATGTGTTGTATGAACTGGCCAGTGTTTTCTTTAGTCTTGATGTGTCGCTTGGGATGTTTTGCTGCAAGTAACAGAAAACTCAACCGAAACTAGCTTAAGCAGTAAAGAAACTGGTGGGTAGAGCAATTCCAAGGTTGGGTGATTTTGAGGTTCAAGAATGTGATTGAGACCCCAGGTTCTGTCTTGCTTCCCTCGAATTTTCCCATACTTTGGTTTCACCTGAAAGCTGGTTCCGTCTGCGGCTGCCAATAGTCATCAGACTATGAACTCTAGTAGGGGAGAAAGAGAAAGTGGCTTCCCCTGGTTCCCTCCTAAGAGTAGGAAATCCTTGCTGCCAGACACTCCCCGGAAGTCTATCCTGGTAGCTCATTGACCAAGTTGGTTTGTACCCACTCACCCCTGAACCAATCACCAGCAAGAAAGTCACACAGAGGTGACTTTGGATCCCAAAGGACATCTGGCAGTGTGGGAGGCATTTTGGTGTATCACACCTAGAAGAGTGTTAGTGGCATTGTGAGTAGAAGTCAGGGATGCAGCTAATTACCCTACAATGAGGGTAGCTCTTCCCCCCTCATATACTATTGAAAATGACCTCTTCCAAAATGTCAACAGTACAAAGGTTGCTGTCTTGGTTTAGATTAATCAGGTCCTCCCTGCACCTGGTGGACAGACACCTACATTGAATAACTGGTGGACAGACACCTACATTGTCCACTGCAAACTCTTTCTTTGAATTCCTTTTTATCACACTGTTAGAGATTCAAATTTCAGAGAGGGTTTCCTTGGCTTACCCACTCATAGGATAGTAGCAAGCAAGGCTCCAGAGGTGACCAGTAGTTCCCCCACAGGAAGTAGGAAGGGCTGTAAAACAAACAAAAGAAATGAAAGGGGAAAAAGCCCACCTCCTCTTCTCCAAGAAACTTAAACTTTTGATGCTTTTGGAGGGGTCAAGTTTCATGTCCTGACTGAAAATCCACAAAACCATGACAAGTTTCTTCAATGATACTCCCTCAAAGGAAAGGAGACATCCCAGAATGATATGGGGGAGGGAAGGACTGGGTAGAGGAAGACAGAGATATACATTAGTTTGACCTAAAAAATGGCGGCCGCCATCCTTCTGTGTACCTGTGTGGCTCTCCTCCTTGAGGTCTGAGGTCTATTCTTCCTGAGCCTGGAATCTGGAATGATCTTGACCTCGTGGTATTTTGGAACATGGTAGAAGTGAGGCTGGGGGAGTTCTGGGCTTCCCACCTCATGTAGCTCTGCGCCTCCATGAAAGAAATCCAGCCACTCCCCAGGGAGAGTGCTGAGAAGCCATCTTAGACGTCCAGTTCAAGTCAAGATGGCGCCAGCCCCAGTGGCCACCTACCTGAAACCACATGAGAGACACCAAGTAAGAACCTCTCAGCTGAGTCCAGTCAACCCACAGAATGGTGAATGATGGTGATAAATTTGTTGTTTTTAGGCCACTAAATTTTGGGGTCATTTGTCATGCAGCAATTGATAGCCAGGACAACATACACTATGCATCCCTAGTTAAGATATTTCTACTTTCATATTTACTAATATTTTAATTAAAATATGCTTATTATAAAAGAAATATAAAAGTGCCATGGAGAATGGAGAAAGGAAACACCACCCCTAGTGTCATGGATTTCACCCGTCATGACCACTCGATCACTGGTCGCTTCCTGGGGTGTATTCTTCTCATCCTCTTGTCTTTTTGCCCTTCACCGTATGTCATCATCATTATTCTAAATTGCCACAGTTTTTTGTAACTAGCAACCTATACTAATAATGCTATTAATAGCCACTTGCAGTAGATGGTTTCCCCAGAGATGTTTATGCGCTAATCCCTTGAACTTGTAAGGTAGGTTATTTTATGGGACAAAAAGGACTCTGGAGACATGATTAGGTTAAGGCTCTTGAGATGGGGAGATTATCCTGGATTATCCGGTGGGCCCAATAGAGTCATGATGATCCTGATAAAAGGGAACGCGAGGGCCAGAGTCTGAGAAGGGGAGGTGAGGAAGGAAGCCAAGCCAGAGAGAAAGATTGGAAGATGCCAGGTGCTGGCTTGGAAGATGCAGGACGTGCCGTAAACCAAGATATCCAGCTGGCTTCTAGAAGCCCCTGGAAGCAGATTCTCCCCTAGAGCCTCAGAAGGAATGAAACTCTGCCAAGGCCCAAATTTTAGCTCCACCATTGGACTTTTGAAGCCCGGAACGGTAAGACAACACATTTGTGTTGCTTTTAAAACAGAAATTTTCATCTATTGACTGGTGGGGACTTCCACAGAAGTCACAATGTTAACAGAGAAAGAAATGATTATAAAAAAAATGGCAGCGTGGGCCTCCCCTGGTGGCACAGCAGTTGAGCGCTGGGCTACGAGGCTGCCCGCAGCCTCTGCAGCGCCGGTTCGTTCCCTGGCCGCTGGCGAGGGTTCCACAAAAAAAAAAAAAAAATGGCAGCGTGACTAGTTTGTGATCATGTTTGTGAGTTTGTGATCATGTTATAGCACAGGGAGGAAATTCACACTTGACCTTACTGAGCATTTTGCACACAGCATCTCATTTAATTCTCCCAACAACCCTATGAAGCAGGTACTCTTACCATCTCCGTTTTAGAAATGAGGAAGCTGGCACCCAGAGGGGTGAAGGGGCTTTCTCAGGCCACAGAGCCAGGAACATGACTGGCCCTGCCATTTATGGTGGTGCCTACTAATACCAGTAGTTTAGGATTTATTTGGACTGGTGTAAACCCGCAGACATGGGTCTATGCTATGCCTCTGTCATGCTGCAATTTTTTTTATAATCATTTGTTTCCCTGTTAATGTTGTGACTTCTGTGGAAGTCCCCACCAGTCAATAGATGAAAATTTCTGTTTTCAAATTGCAAAGGGTCACCCCCTCCTCAAGTCTTTATTGGTATTGGCACCAAGTGTCTCATTTCAAAAGATGAAATACCAATTCACTTAGGGACCGGGAGGAGCCAGATACTGTTGACAAGTTGCTAGGTCTTAACTGCTATGTCAATCTCCTGCTTTTGAGACGCAGTCTTAACAACACAGTTAAAGAAGAGCTTCAAAGCCTCTGCAAAAGAGTCAAGACATAATCTGAAGCTGGCCAAGATTCTAGCAACCAGGATTCCTTTCTACTCTGCTGAGTAGTCCCCTCTTCCCACAAGGTTGATCTATCTAGGAGCTAGACTCACTAAGATTGGGGGTGAGGCCTAGTGGTATCCCCCAGAATGCTTTCACGTTTGCCTGTTTGAAACAATCCCTCTTATTATTACTATTTTATGGAAAACAGTCATTCATTGCATCAACACCAAATTCTGCTTTTCCATCAATTCTCCTAGCTGCTTAAGAAAGTGCTGTCCAAATGGTCCTGGAATCTCATGCCTTGTGGCAGAGACTCCCTCTGCCCCCGGCCCCAACAACCAGGGCCTCACCATTTGCTTCAGAATTCTCAGGCAGCTTGATTCTGACCCACCCTCAAATGTGCAATTATGGTCCCATAGTATCTTCTGGAATATATATATATATATATATATATATATATATATATATATTTTTTTTTTTTTTTAACAAAGACACATACCTATAGCAAAATGTGCCCTGTTTAGTCGACAGTTTGCAAGGTGAGACATTACCCAATGCACCAGGCATTCCTTGTAACAGCACCAAACGTCAGTATGTGGAGGCGGAGGGCCGTACGACCCAGCAGTGGTCAAGTCCAGGTCCTGCATGGGCTGCCTTCCCTTCGGCCTTTTACTTCTCCTCTAATATTCGTGATTCCCTTCTGTGTATTCAGTAATGTCCCTGCAGTCATATAAACCCCAAGGTGCTAGGGTTTGGTCTGCCTTGTTCTCTATGTATTGCAGAAACAGGTGCTTCACAAATGTGTCGAATGAATCAAAGAGTAAATGAAACTGTCTTTCGTCTTTGAAAGCTGAGGACAGGGGCCTCCCTGGTGGCTCAGGGGGTTAAGCACCGCACTATGAAGCAATCTGCGGCCTCTGCAGCACGTGTTCGATCCCCACCAGCCTGAGGGCGGCCCACATGATGTAGCAGACCTCTCCTGTCTCGCCCGCTGCTCCACTCAGCAGTGTACTTCGGTAAACCTGCCTGTTCTGTTCCCTGCTCTGTCTCTGGTGAAATCCTCTCAACCCCCACATCTCTGGCCTGTACCCCAGCTCTTGAATGCATAAATAAATAAATCTTTAAAAAAATAAATGCTTAAAAAAAATAAAGCTGAGGACACAGGAAGGTTTCTCTTGCTTTCTGTGTTGATAACTCTCTAAATCAGGGGAAATTAAGTGTGTGAGAGAGAGACGGAGGGAGGGAGGACATTGACTTTGGCCTTGTAGGAGAAACCAGAGCTGCAATTGCAACACTGCCACTTAACTGCCCTGTAAGAGCAAGTCACATTCCCTCGCTGAACCCCAGTTTTCTTAACTGCAAAATGGGGCGTGTAAACAATGTGAGGAGATGTGTTATGAATGTCAAGAGCCCCACACTTTGTAAATCTTGGTTTTGTCCTTTCTTCCCTTTCCCTCCTCTTGAGTTGCCTGTCCAGTGTGAGTGCCCTGTTGAGCCTGCAGCTCTCAGGGCAATTGTATGGATGCCCAAGGCTTCCAGCCTCCCAGGGAAGGGAGTGCATGGTGCACCCACAGCAGGTTCAAAGGGAAGTGCCCGAAAGTGGTGACCCGAGGCCTGGCTCCGTGGCTGAGCCCCAGATGCTGGGAAAGGCAAACAGCTCAGGGACACAAACTTTACTGAAGCCTTCTCTCCGATCTTGCTTCCCAGCCCTCGTCCTCCCTGGGGTCGCCTCCCAAAGACGGGAGTTGCAGGAGGGAGCGCCAATTGCTGTATTTGCCCCTCAGGTTTTACAACTTCATCTGCTCGACTGATGCATGGAGGGGAGGGTGTATCAGCACCCCAACTCCCAGGCCCCTCCGGAGGGTAATGCTTACACCTGGTGAGATGAAACTCCAGCTGCCTGCGGTCTTGATAACTTGCTTCATTGGGGTTGTCTCCCTTCCCCTGGCTCATTTCTGCTTCTCTTTTGCCTTGACCTTCCATCTGTCCTTCAATCTTTGCCTCTCGGTCTGCTCTGGGGAAACCCAAACTAAGACACAAGATCTGTTATCGGGGATTTCCAAAGGAAGATATCAATTAGAGTTAATTGCCTGGCTTTAAAGTGCCCCCAAAGAACATGCTGTTCCTGAGTGAAACAGCTCCCCTGTATTAACACCGGGCAGCAGAAGTGGGTGACCCCCAGTTGCTGGAAGGAAGGCCCTCCTCTGCCCATGGGATTAACAAACCTCCCCCCACCCCCGTCCCCCACCCTTTGGTACTGAATCACCCCCTTTATGACACATGAACTCCTTTGTTGTATTTCACGGAAAGTTCCTGGAACACAAAGGATTCTCTGTTGGTACCTTCGAAAATGTTCCTTGAGTGTCCAACCAGGGGGGGCATCTCTTGTTTCTGTGTTTATTTAATTACTTCTGGAGACAGTCACCATGTTGAGCGCTGGCAAGGAAGCCCTGATCTGGCTCAGCACTTTCATTTGCCGAAAAGAAGTCTGGCAAAGTGGGAACCCCACAGCAGCCCCGATACTGGATGCTATTTTCTAAAAGTTCTGTCTTTTCGTACTGGCGAGTATGAAGGCCATTGGCTGACTCGGGTTCCTCCTCCAGCATTACATTCTCTTCTGAGCCACATACCCTGCATTGCCTTTGGGGAGCCCCCTTCCGGAAGTTCTCTCTTCAGAAGTTCTTTCTTCTAGGAGCTTCCCATGACACTCCAACTGACAAAGAGCTTGCGATGGCACCGACCAGAGCAGCTGACATGTTGAGATCACAATAATTGGTTCAGGGACAAACGCGTGGTTCAAAGTGGTCTAGTCTGAGTTCACGTTAGGCTTTGCCTGGTAGCTTTCTGGAAGGCAAGCTCTCACTTGCTCCCACCTAAGCCTAGAGTGGTTGCGATGCTGGCACGTGAACCCGGCCTAGGGCACATCTCAATCCCAGAGATGTTTGGGGTGTTAAGTTTTTAATTTTTTTTCCCCTCCAAATATTGCTCCCTACTGAGTTATGCTGAATCTCCTTGGAGAACAGATTCCTTAAGAGTATTTCTGAGCAGTCTGTAACTTTCACACCATGATTACTTGTTTTAAAAAATCTCAGTCCCAAGTTCCCCCCACATCTGAGTAAATACCCAGTTTAAGTCTTGTCAAGATATCAGTTCCCCTGGTAATAAAAACCAAAATAACTGACTTGAACGAGATACATGCTTCATCCTCTCCCGTGGAACTGGCCGGGGCTTAGCGTCTGGTTGGCCTTGGTGGCTCCACGCTGTCTGGCATCAGACTCTTGCTACCTCGTGCCTTGCTACCCTGAATGCCCTTTTCCAGACGGCGGTCTACAGGGGCTGCCCTAGCTCCTGCCATTATGCCCACCATCCTTCCTGGCAGTGGGAAGAGGGGAAAGGTAGGGAGAGGGCAACTTTGTTCCCTCTAGAGGTGTGTTCCAGAAGTTCGAAGCCACAGAGGCAGGGAGCAAGCCTTCTCTATGCTGCAATGCCTGCTGTACATGGTGTCAAAGCTCTCCTGCCCTCTGGCTTCTGATTGACTGATGAGAGACACTGGAGGGAAGAGGGAGAGAGGAGTGATTAGGTCCAGTGTTTTTCCCCTCCGCTCCCCTGTTGGGTCACCCTGGCCTCCTGCATCCCCTAAGTGAAGGTCACGGCTCCTGCCAAGCAGCCATTGCATAGGGCTCCTTCTCTGTAGCTGAGGCCACCTCCTCCTTCTTTGCCCACTCAGGCCTAGGGTGAAGCTCTCTAGTGTACCTGTGAAGGGGTGGGAATGCCCCCCTGTTACCACCTAGTGGCAGCAACATCCCCTCTTACTAGCTCTGAGCTGTCACAGGCTCAGCAGACCCCACCCACACTTTTGTAACAGCCCATTCATAAAACCCTCCTGCTGGGCCCCTGGCAGATGGGAGGCTTTCTAACCGCTTAGGGAGCAGGTGTCTTATTATCCATCATCCCCGCCTTATAGACAAAAAACTGAGGGTCAGAGAGGTAAAGAGAGCTGCCTGACATCACACAGCTACTAAATGGTGGCACCAGAGTTTAAACAAGACAGTCTGGCACCAGAAACCACATCCTCCACCAGCCAGTGGGCCCTGGCTTCTTGGAAGTGTAAGGGAACAGGACCAGGTTGTGAATTAGCTCCAGGTCATCATTAACCCTCAGTTCTTCAGCTTTTATCCAGGGTGGCAGGTTGGTGGGGCAGGGGGTGGGGGGGTGGGGAACCAGCCTGGGGGATGCTGACACAGACACCTGCAGGGGTCAAGGAGTGACCATGAAGTCAGACGGGCCTTGCCACAGAGAAACAGGCTTCTTCCCTGCCCTTTTTCTTCAAACACAAGGACCCTCCAAGCCCATGGCTCCTTTTCCACTGACACAGGGAACTAGGCAGGAAGATAAATTATTTTGAAACTCTCCTTGGTGGACAGTAACAGAGACTTGGCTCCAGAGACTTAAAAAAAATGAGAGGTGTATTTCAATCACATAAAACCAGTCTTTCAGGGCCTCCCTGGTGGCACAGGTGGTTGAGCGCCACGCTGTGAAGCTGTCCGCAGCCTCTGCAGTGCGGGTTCGATCCTGGCCGGCTGGCGAGAACCCACGTGGCGCAGCAGACCTCTCCTGCCTCGCCCGCTGCTCCCCTCAGCAGTGGATTTCGTCAGCCTGCCTGTTCTGCTCCCCACTCTGTCTCTGGTGAATCCTCTCACCCTCCCGCACATCTGGCCTGTACCCTGGTTCTTATGTAAAAATAAACAAATCTTTAAAACAAACAAACAAACAAACCAAAAAACAGTCTTTCAGTTATATGTGGAATTGACAAAAACAAAAGCTGAACACCCAGCTCAGAGATAGATACGCAGAACCAGGTGCTTGCCAGAGGCAGGGGGTGGGGGATTGGTGAATGGGGGTCCAAAGGTATTGACTTCCCAAATAAATAAGTCGCAGGACGTCATACCCAGCACGGTGACTCTAGTTAACAACACCGCCCTGCATAGCTGAAAGTTGCTAAGAGAGCAGGTCTCGTGATGAGGACTCTCACCGCAAGAAACAGAAAAAGTTGTAACTATATATGGTGACAGATGTTAACGAGACTGATCGCTGTGATTGTTTCATGATATATATAAATAGAGTTGACCACGCAAAGCGAATATAATGTGGTGCATCGATCCTGCAATAAAGAAACAAAACCAAGACGGTCTGGACGCTACCGTTCCAATGCACAAGCACGGTGCGCCCTCATGTTGTGGGGTCCCTTTCCTTCCATGGGAAGCACAGAACTTCCTGCCTGAGCTTCAGTCGCATGTCTGCGTTTTGGGGGGGCAGGGAGGAGAGGAGCAGGTCACCACAGGCCTTCACGGAAGCCCCACCATCAACCTCCAAAGCCTCAGCCACTCAGCGTGGCGCTACTGACACATTCTGGTCATGTTCTGAGCCTGTGGTGAGAGTGTCCTGCCGGGCAGGCTGCTGAGCGGCAGCCCTGCCTCTACCCACTAGGTGTCAGTAGCAACCCCCTCCCCAGCTGTGACCGCCAAAACTGTCCCTACATATTGCCAAATGCCCTCTGGGGGACAAAGCTACTCCAGACTGAGAAATACTGGGGCACTCTTGGAATCAAAGAGAAACGGGAGAATGTGATCTTTTCATACAGTGCCACCCGCTCCCCACCCCCAACAGTGTAGGAATTCCCATTGGTAAGAAAGAAGTGATTAGACATTTTGATGGCCAGTATAGTCTTTGCTTCAAGAGAACTTTCCTCTTATTTCTACCAGAAAAGAACCAGCGACACAAACATGGCGACAGTCTCAATGCTGGGAGTCATAGAGAATGGTGGGGACTGTGGTAAACGGAGGGCCAAGGTGCCCTCCCACATTCCTAGCTATGTTATGGAAAGGCAGCGTGGGACCTGAGTGACGAGAGCTTTTGATTTTTCAAAAAAATCTAGAAATACAGATTTTTCTATGCAATCTCCATTTTTAATTATTGGCCACTAGTGCCATTTTTCTAAAGATCTTTTTATGAATGCTATTTGACCTGCAGTTTGCAGCGGGCAGTATATGATTTTTAAAAATCATCATGGAAAACTTCAAAGATATACAACAATAGAGAAAGTCGTACAGTTCGCTCCCAGGAGCCCACCTTTACCGATTATCCACATTTTGCCAATTTCATTTTTATTCTCCGCCCTCACCTTGCTCTCTGCAAGCAATGTAGAGCCAATTGCAGGCTTATCATTTCGCTAATAAACACTTGGTAATCACTTTTAACAAAATGACATCACCAAGCTTTTCTCGAAGTTAACGACCAGATCTTGGTATGGGAAAAACTATTTCTCAGGGAGTTTCTAGCTTTGCTGTCCTCAGCTTTATTAACTGGATTTCCTCGTCTCCTAGTCACCTCTCCCTCCTCCATCCCTCATTTTATACCCAGACAGACACACAGACATTTGGATAGATACAGGGGAGTGTATACACAAACAGAACGACACACACATACACAGACGAACCCACAAAGCATCACGCCCAGACACTGCAGCACATTGACATACACAGACACGTGCTCTCTCACACACACACACTCACACTCATGCTGTCCTCAACCACTTCATCAAGAATAAAGCACACATCTTGAATTTCGACCTGTGAGTATTTTAAACTGGGCTAGATCTAGAACCAGTGCCCGCCGGCTCCCACATCCTGCCATCTCCCTAGTGCTGACTAATTTTTGACCCTGAACTTGTTCACTCACCCAGGCCTTCATTTTGTTTTGTGCAAAACAGGGAGAACAATTCCAACTCACCTCCCGACAATGATGCAGGGAGTAACGTAATTAAAGGATTGTACACCCCTTGTGCAAGTAATTAAGTGCTTAATAATTACCACAACAATAGCAGTGGCGATGGGTGATTATAAGTCCCAGCGCCAGCATCAAGTAAACAGGCAGGCCCAGAGCGGGCTGTGCTGGTGTTCATCTTCTGCTACCAGACAGGCAAGGCCTGGAGCCCTCCTGTTCCCACACCATCCACTCGTGCCTTCTATTAATACATGAAGACGCTTGGGTGGCCTGGCAAGAGATGAGATTCACAATCCAAATTCCCAACTCAAGCCATTAAGGGGGAAAGCTATTTTGCAGCTCAGTCCCTAAATTAGAAGATGATTTCTGGGTGTTTAAATATCTCTCTTTATCTCTGTACCATTTATACAGCTACTGACACAGCCCTCAGGGACAGAGGAGG